AAGGAGGAACTTTCTGACAGTGAGAACAATCAACCAATGGAACAGCTTGCCCTCGGAAGTTGTGGGAGACTTCATCAGTTGAGACTTTCAAGAAGAGGTTGGACTGCCATTTGTCAGAAATGGTGTAGGGTGTTCTGCTTGAGTGGGGGATTGGACTAGATTACCTATAACAGCGATGGCAAACCATTTTTGGCTCGCGTGCCATAAGTGGGGGGAGCGCAGGGGGGGTCGTGTGTGGGTGTGCCGCACCCATAATGCAATGCATGATCCCCCCAGTGCTCTTACGCGCACTACAAGTGCGACCCCCATTTTTTGCATGCTTTTTTTGACCTCCCCAGGCTCCAGAGGCTTTATAGGAGCCTTCTCTGCCCCCCAGAAGCCCTCCGGAGGCTTCAGGGACCTTCAGGAGGCTTCCCTGAAGCCTCTGGAGCAGTCAAAACTACCCCCCAAGCAAACCAGAAGTCCGTTCCCGAACTTCCGGTTTGCCCGTTGGGCTGGTTTTTTTGTGCTCCAGAGGCTTCAGGAAGCTCATGAAGCCTCCAGAGTGCCTCCGGTGGGGGGGGGGGGGGAGGCTCTTTCTGCCCTCCCTGGGGTCCTATAAAGCCTCTGGAGCCTGGGGAGGGAGAAAAGTGGCTTTAAAAAGGGGTGAACTCAGCTGGCCAGTGTGCGCATGCGTGCTGGCCAGCTGATAGGGCAGCATCTCGCGTGCCCTGACAAATGGTTCCGCATGCCACCTGTGGCACACGTACCATAGGTTTGCCATAACTGACCTATAAGATCCCTTCCAACTCTGTTAACCTGATCTCTTGCAGATAGCTGCGATGGCCCTGATGGAAATATGCAATAACCATTACCTAGGTAAAAAGGACAGAAATATTTTTTTTAAGTCCAGAGCAATGAGACCCCATTGGAAGTGCTAATTCACTGGAATATGAGAGGGAGGAGGGGAGGAAAAGGTATACCATAATCAGAATTTCAAGGTTGTGATATTATATACCCAATCACAGCAAAAGCAGTTTTAGCCTTCCTGTGGAATTTGTTTCTTGGTCTGTAGAGGTGACATGTTGGTTGACATCTCATTTGATATGGTGGCTGGGGAACTATGAGAAATAAAATCAAACATATTTACAAAATACTATGTTAGGGAAAATCTAACTTTAAAATTTTCTATGGAAGATGTTAAAAATGTTCTTCCCTAAGGTTCTCAACTGAATTTCATATAACCTGCACAAATGAGAACAAGACACCCCTATATATCTTACAACGTTGCAAACTTCATCACCTCTTTCTACAGTAGAACATTGTTTTCCAGAGGAATCACCTAGTACTGGCTTTGACTTCACCCATGAAACAGTCCCATGAAATCTTCTCTGGGGACCGGCTACTTGGTAGTACAAAAGATTTTGTAACTTCTATCATCTCTTACCATGAACCAGATTGTATGAGATTGCTTGGACTTTCAGTTCAGCAACACTTAAGAGGATCATCTGATCTACAAAAGGAAAAGTTAAGAGTTTGAAATGGAGAGGTAGAAAATGTTTTCAGGAAATGTGTAACTGCATTAGTAGAATCTTTTGGGAGCCATTGATTCAGATCTAAAGTACTGTTAGTTCAAGAAAGTAATATAAAGTAGCATCATTAGTGTAGAGAGCCAACAAAATAAATATTTACGTATAATTTACTCTTGTTGGAATGATTGTTAACGCTGTTTTAAACAACTGGAGAAAAATCATATACCAACCAAGAATATTGCAGTTATAAAAGTTACAACATGATTGTTGTATAAGAAGGATAGAGAAATTTAAATTGTGCTGCCTGGAACATGATGTTCTTTTGAATGTTGTGGTTATTGTGCTCTCTTTAAAATGTCTTGTCATGTAGGCAAGAAATAAGATATAATCAGCTGCTCTCAAACTGTAGAGCAGACTTAACATCTCTCTTTTGTGTGAAAATATATGGGAGGGGGTTAGCTTTATAATTGTGCTCTTTTAATAATAATTTAAATTATATTACAGCTGTCACAGATTGTTAAGAAAATCCTGTTCTCTCCCGGACTCCAATTACATTCCCTCCTATTTCTTTGACAATCTTTACCAGAAATCCTGCTTAAAAGGATCACATTCTATAAATTGTCTTTGTTGCCAAAGAAAGTATAAGAGACAAAAGACAAAAAGTCAATAATGGAAGGATTATTTTGCTGCAAAAAGGATGGATGCGTATCTCCTGCTTAGGTAGAGCCCCACTTTCTATGATATATCTTGTGTAATGAAAAAAAAAGAGAAAAAAATAGGAGTAAAAGTTTGTTAGGGAAGGAAGTCACAAACAACAGGGAAACAACAATTTGTTCAAATTCATTTTTAAGAAATTTTATGTATTTTCTATTGCTGCATTTGAGCCACTCCCCATGGAAGAAATATCACTATACTATTCTTTTGGCAATGAGACATACATCCAGGGGTGGGCTGCTGTGGGTTCGTTCATGACCAAGCTATAGACAACATTTATCAATCACACAGGTTATTATTTTCCATTACATACATCCTTAGGGATATTGCTTCATCTACACTCCACCGCCGCAATGCTCCCCCCCCCCCGGAGAGAAAATGCTTCACAATGACACTTAAAACTTTGTATATGAGACTATGACGCACAAAGAGATCACTTGAAATGGTACTATTCAAATTATATACAGGCCCCCTTTTTTTCATAAAATGTAAGATTGGAAGGAAAGCCAGTTTGGTATAGTTTTTAAGGCATCAGGCTGGGAGACCAATTAATTCTAGTCTCACCTTGGCATGAAGCTAGATTGGTAACTGTAGTGAAGCCATGGTGGCACAGTGGTTAGAATTCAGAATTGCAGACTAACTCTGCCCACAGCCAGGAATTTGATCCTGACCAACTCAAGGTTGATTCAGACTTCCATCTTTCCGGGATGGATAAAATGAAGACCCAGATTGTTGGGGGCAATGTGCTGACTGTAAATCGCCTAGAGAGGGCTGGTAAGCACTGGAAAGCGGTATATAAGTCTAAGTGCTAGTGCTACTGGTAACGTTGGGCCATTCACTTTATCTCAATCCTAGGAAGGAGACAATTGCAAACCACTTATGAAAAACTTTGCCAGGAAAAGTGCAGGAATTTATCCAGGCAATCTCTGAGAAGAGCATGAGTCAATAGAAGAAGATTTGAAGACAAATATTAACTTTCAAGAAATTTCTGTAGTGTGTTTACAAGTATATCAAGCATAGCAGAGATGTACAATGCTTTGGCCACTGTATTTGATATGGTAAATGCCACATATCAACTAGTAATTTGGGCCAAAATAACCCTAAAGCAGACTAGAATACAGTCTCTAGCTCTCTGCCTTTAACACAAATTGCCTCTGATGAGGTATTCTAGGCAGAGGTGGGCGTCACATACTGCAACGACCAGTTCGCCCACAACACGAAATGTGAGCGTGCACCTTCTGCGCATGCGTGCGGCAGCAAACATACAGCAATTATATAGGATAGGATAGTGCCGGGATAGCAGGTGGGTGGGTGGGCCCAGCTGCTGATCAGAAGAACTGGTCCGAACAGCCCACCTCTGATACTAGGCCAACTTAAAGGGAAGAAGATAGAAAACAAGAGGAGAGGGAGTAGGAAAACTGATTACATTTAAAACATGAAGCCTAGATCAATTTTATATTTTTATATTTATATTTCCAAAAATGCTGATTGAGGCATTATTTTTCCATGTTTCAGTTAAAAGGTTTTTGGAGCCATCTTGACTATGACCCCAAACCACGACTAAATGAATTGAAACAAGCTCAATAACTGTTTTCTCCTCCTACGTTCCCTATTATGACTCTGATGATGCAGGTATTCCTGACTTCAGGATCATGTCAGCTGATAATACAAGGTCTTCTAGTCCAACCCCCTGCCTAGGCAGGAAACCCTATATCATTCCAGACAAATGGCTATCCAACATCTTCTTAAAGACTTCCGGTGTTGGGGCATTCACAACTTCTGGAGGCAAGCTGTTCCACTGATTAATTGTTCTAACTGTCAGGAAATTTCTCCTTAACTCTAAGTTGCTTCTAAGTTGATTCTGTTGTTCATTCTATCCTTTTTTATAAAATCATGCTTAAATAAAGAAACTGTTTGAGAACCTGAATAATGTTTGACGTGTTCTCTAAGGAGAACATTGCCTACCTCTGATCTTGAAAAATTCCTGGCAGCCAAACATCACTACTTGTAACTTGTAAAGGTGGCGCAGTGGTTAAATGCAGCACTGCAGGCTACTGCTAGATCAGCAGGTCAGCGGTTCAAATCTCACCGGCTCAGGGTTGACTCAGCCTTCCATCCTTCCGAGGTGGGTAAAATGAGGACCCGGATTGTTGGGGGCAATATGCTGACTCTCTGTAAACCGCTTAGAGAGGCCTGAAAGGCCTATGAAGCGGTATATAAGTCTACTGCTATTGCTATTGCTATTAAGGTAAATCACACACTCGTTCATTTACTCCCACAGGGCTGTATGCATTCTTCCTTTATTTCAAAGGAATGCTTGCAATTTTGTGGTATTATGCAAACCTTAATTAGCGATCCACAAGATGTCTTGAAAACTAGTGCCTAAGGTGTGACACAAATATTTGGTGGTAGAGTTCCAGAAGTCTGGAAAAATATCCTCTTAAAAGAAACATTTAAGAATTGAGTCACTGGAGTCTGACCGGGAAATGCTGTTAGAAAACAATTCCTCTAATCGTTAATGAATGTCTGTCTACTGGAGAAGGCACAATTTCTTCTGTGTACAAAGCAGGATGTTTGAGCTTCCTTTCATCTTGGAAAGACCTTTTGCTAAGTAGATTTTGTTTACCAGCGTCAGCCTGGTTTGGTGACTGAGAAATCATTTCCATTTGTTAATTAACAGGCTCTTTTTTGCTATTGGACAACTCTAAGTTACTGTTTATAAGCAGTGGGTTTTATTCAGTAAAGAGAATGCTTGATCCTGCTGTTATAAACGCTCACAGATGCAGACGAAGCTGAATTATTAAGGTTTGCGCTATTTGCATTTCATGACTTTATTTTTTTTTAAATAGTTTTTATTGAACATTTTAATCTTTAAAAACAGAAAGAAAAACACAAGAAAAAACAAAAAACAAAACATACATAACAATATAAAGTAATTATACCGCTACTTTTCAGTGTGTTCTAAGCTTCTCGCTGTGTGTAAGCATACAATTGCTATCAGAAGATAACAATGGATGAACAAAATCTAGTCCCATATAGAAATCATAATATTATCAGTTTCTAAAGCAATGCCACAATCCCATTAAAGCCAACCCTACTTAAACTCAGTGACTACTTAGAGTAAATTGAGCCAAAAACTTTGGTAAAAGAGATCATCCAGTCAAGCCAAAGGGATAATCTACTACTACCAGCTTATTCTGAAGCTAAAGTGCAGCAAAAAGCCTATCAAAAGTATACATTGGCATATGGATTGGAATTGTAACGTATTAGAATAGCCTCATGTTGCCATGGAGGCTAGTGAATCCATAGTTGGTCCTCTCTGTCCACTTCATTGCTGTGTAGGATCTACTATTTGTCTTCAAGAGCCATTACATCTAGATACACATAACAAACAGAGACTAGGTTTAGTGGAGTGGTTAAAGCATCAAGTTAGAAACTGGGAGATCATGAATTCCAGTCTCACCTGGGACAAGAGCTAGGTGACCTTGGGCCAGTCCATCTATCTCAGTCTAGAAAGAAGATAAGGGCAAACCACTTCTGATGTCTCAAGAAAATTGCAAGGATTTGTTCAGACAGTTGCCAGGAGTCAAAACTGATTTGAAGGTACACACATACATAACAGAGACTGCAGACTGAGCAACACAAGAATCCTATTGTTTTTCTAGCCCAAAATGATGAACAATATGTCAAAACTGCCTCACAGATTATTATTCTAGTTGGAGGTAGAACATTTTGCAAATGAGCTTATATATAAAACAGTAGATACATATCTCACTTGATTCTCCTACTGATGTTAATGTTACTCTGAATTAGAGCAATCTGTCCCAGTCTGCCTAGCTAGGTCTGAGTAATATATACAGCATATAGAATTTAACAATAGAAGGATGCTTTTTTAAAATTACAAATTGACCTGATATTCAAAAACAGTCCAATCAAAGAGAGCAACTTGACATAACTGCCTAGAATTGGAAAGAGAAATACAGTAGCTTTCAACTTTCTGAAGCCCTTCCTTTCCTGGTTCATTTTTATGATACATAACACGGTATAAGGAATATATCAGAGACTGGAAATCTAGCAGACAAAGGAAACTTCAATTGTTCATGAAAGCATGACACAGAGATCAAACTAACAGATCTACAGAAGTCAAATGGGAAAAGTATGAAGCAAAAAAAAAGTTAGAACCAAGAAGATAAAGAACATAAAACTAAATATAAAACAGTTGATGTATTATTCTGTTCCAATAAAGTAGGAAAACAGAGAAAATATT